GAAAATTTGCAAAGCATTTTACTAATCATAACGAAAGCGTCACAGTGTCTCTTTGTGGGAAGTAAGTATTATATCTGTTTTACATATGGGTAACACTGATAACACCAGCTCTTCATTTTCAAATGCTGCTCTCAAGTGCTTCCATCAAAAGCTGCAAGTTGAAATGAAATTGAGCTGTGCTGATGAAAAGGAGGTAAAAATAACAGAGTTTTTGGACTGAAATCCTGCAAGAGCATGCTTACACAAAGAGAATGCTCATTGTGTCTTGTTAAGCCATTATAATTAAAAACAGGACTACAGTCTCGTTGTGATGTTATATTCCTCTTTATATGTAGCTTGACTGATGGTTATGTTGAGTTAATTTGAGTTATGTGAGGCACAAACATACTCTTTTTTGTTTGATCTGAGTTTGAATCATGTTCCTGGAGATAACATTGGAAGTGTTCGGTAAATGGCTATGGTCACAGGCTGTCTCTAATGTGAATGTGGTTCTGAATGGATGACTGGACTGTCTCTTTCATATGTCCTCTTTTTTATCATGAGGACACAAAAATCTTTCCCATTTATCAAACCAGAAACTGGTGGAAAGTATCTGCCATTTATTTATCTGTGGTTTGTCAAGCTTATAGACTAACATACGGTGAGAAAGATTATAACACATTCCTAATATCCAAGAAGTTGTTTTTCTTAAGAGTATGAAATTAGAGAAAATTTGAAAAGAAAGAACAATAAAATCCAGCACGTGTTCAACACTAATAGAAGCCTATTTGTACAGTTATGCTTGCAAGAAGGGTGGATACTTCTGGCAAGCAGGCAAAACTGGGGCAGAGCAAGAGGTTGAACTACCCTGTGAGCCTATATTTTTTCAAACACTCTTTTTGTCCATAGATGTGATCCCTTGGGATTTCTCACTAGGCAGCATTGACGCTCACTAGGACTCGAATGAGCAGTGCTTTGTGGAAAACAATACATGATCTTGAGATTGAAGCACGGAAAAGGATAAATTGGTATGTTCTGGTGGATCAGAAGAAATTAAAAAGTTACTGCTGACAATTTTTGGTTACTAGCCGTGAGCTGGGAATTGGTCTTTTGGTCAGCTGAGATGCAGTAACTGCCTGTAAGAGCATGCGTAATCCCTATCAATACAAAGCAGAACTGCTTAGTTTAAACTGCTTCTTTGGCAGCTGGTTGGTGATTATTTTTAATATATGAAAGGTAATGAAAGGGTGGGGCAGAATATACTTACTCATGAAAGACGAAGAACTTACTAATGTGGGAAACTTTAGATTTAGATTTAGATTTAGATTCCTGTCTTCTCAGAGGTTACTTTGTGTAGGCTTTCTGGATATTGTCCTTCTGTAAAGTTGAAAACGAATGCTGAGATTCCCAGTTAATTGCTTCATACTTTTGTCCTTTTGCATGTGTTTCAATGCTGTTACACATTGCCCTCCTTGATCTATTCCCTCCACCTCTCTTTCTTTAGCTTTTTTTTCTAGCATTTCTATTTCTTCTTTACTTTCAGCCTTTCCAGCACGACTTTTATCCCTGAATTGGCCTTTGAGCATCTGTCTTCTTTCTGTATCCGTCTGCATTTTGTAATGCATCTCTTCTCTTTAGGGGGCTAAAGGGTGATCAATCACTTCAGAGTGAGTTTTTTCAAGAGCCGATTGACCTAGTTCACTTCTGAATGCGATGCACCCTTGGACTTTTAGGCAGCTCATAAAAGCCTGAGGAAAAAATGGGCATCATATCCAAGTATCCTGACAGCTTGTTATAGTATCCCCCACTCATCACAAGCATGACTTCTGCAACAAGTCTGTTGCAGCCTTCTCTTAAAGCAACTGAAAGATTGGAGACGTTTTGCTTTGACCAAAGGTTTTGTAGTGCAGCATCTGTCTCTTGCTGTACTGTGAAGAAATACTGCCTCGTTCTCAAGCTTGGCTTAGATATCTGGGCACTGGCACACTGCAAGCAAAGGATGATAAATAACAAGTTGTATGTTTAAATTCATGTTATCATGTGCATTGGCACGATTTAGATGCATTTACATACATGTTCTACTCTTTTGCAGGGAACATAATATGCCTTGATCTGTAGAGGACTATCTTAAGACAGTCCAATGCCAGCAAGCCCATCTCCCTAGTGTTAGAACTGATTTTGTGTCTGAGATAAAGGAAGCGTTTTAGTAGACAGCCAAACTTAATCAAAACCAAACCCCATTTGGATTTCTTGCTATTCTTGCCATAACTAGATGTGATCCTGAACTGTTACTTTAAAATACAACTTAACTTGAACCAAAACTATATAATAAACATACTGACTCAACTTCCTGATTCTTAGGTATGTTCTTGAAGGACAAGTACATTTATTCTGGATATGAAAAAGAATGCAACAGAATTTACATTCCTGGTTTAAAAATAAAGGTAGCATAATCATTAAAGACTCCAGTGTCCACTACTGTTTGTCCCTATGTTCCATGCTAATATTGTTTCCTCTTGTAAGACTCTGCATCCTGCACAACACTAACTTTCAGTATGTTATGTTTCTTAGTATTTTCTTTTAGGTCTTGGGACTATTTTGCCATTTGATTACACTTCACCACGGAAATTGGTCATGACATAGTATTTAGTGTAAACAGAATTGCTTTGGCTAGGATCCTGCGAGGATGACAAAAGGAAAAAATATATTTGGCAATCTCTAGTGCTCAAGGAGATTCATCTTGTGTTTAAAATGAATTGACCATCATCTGTCAAAGCCTTTTTCATGCTAGAATAGTATGTGTGAAAATCTAAATGGCTTAGTAGAGCATTATGCTTGTTAGGAACCTGGCTCTTTGAGGGGCTGTACACCCTCATTCAGCTCCTGCTGACTTTCAAGGGCAGCTGAAGATGTCCAGAGTCCTTCTGGGACTCCTAGAGTCTCTCAGGATTGGAGGGGAGTATCTGGAAGTATTCTACAAGGATATTTTCACCTTCCTTTGCAAAAACAACCTTTGGAACAAATTCCATTTTTTACAGTCAGTACTTGAAATGACACATCTTCTCATGGAAAACTCTAGGTCCTCTAGGGTTATTAATAACATAGCATTTGGACATGTACACATCGATCTCTATTTCTAAAATGCATCTGTGAATATTGGAAGTATTTTATACCATATACAAGACAATGTATATTCAAGCTGCAAAATATAAGGCTGGTGTTTTTACTCAAGGATTATTGGACTTGATGGGAGATGGGTAATTCAGACATTTAAAATAATTTTAAGGACAGGTCCGTTTTATGGTGCCAAAACATGGAAGTTCTGGATGTTTAACAACATAGCGTCAAGTTCCGTGATCACTGGCCTTTGTTTTTTGAAAGCAGCTATGTGGTATCTCTTTTAATTTTTTCCCCTATTGCCTAATGTTAAAGAGACCCAGCTTTTCAAAAGTCCAGGAGATCTGTCCATTCGACATCAGATCCCTTCAAAGATTCCTCAGAGAGGGAACCCAAAATGCCTAGGCGTCCTAAAACACAGAATCCCTGATTGTGTATACTTGCAGTCAAACTTGAGATGACTGAGAGGATGGCATTGACAACTCTGCTATGTAACACTACAGGCTTTGTTGCAGTGACAGTGCTGGGGGCATCTCTTTATTTGTGGCATGAATTTACTGCCGCACGGTAGGAAATATGTGTTAATGTGCAGAACTCATGGGGTGCTGAGTCAGTGGCAGCGGTGGTTTCTTTCTGGGTGGAAGCGCTGCTATTTGCTTACATGCACTGTAATAGAGGGTGCAACTGTTTTAGTTGCTTCTTTTACTGCAAGGGTATGGCATGTGATGTTCTGTCAAAGGCCTGGCTGGAGAGCAGCCTTGTGCTGGTGGCTGCCCTTGGGGTTGGAAGGCTCTGGAAGAAAGGAGAGCCAGCAAGGAGGGAGCAGGGCCACGGGAAAACTTCTGAAAGGAGCGGACACCTAGCCAAATCTCTGAGCTGACAAGGAAGGATCTTTTCTTAGGAACCTGGATAGGTCTGTGTGGAGTTGGTGCAACTCAAGATGCCCCTGAAAGTTGCTGGACTTAGAGCAGCAGGCTGGGATTTCCTCCACAGTGTTCACAAAACCGTGTCGCCATCTTTCTAGTAGAGGCTTTTCAAGAGACAGTGGGGTTGCTGAGCATCCCGCAAGAGTACTTCCTTCCCACCTGGGCATCAGATTTAATGAGGAGGTTACCAGCATATCTAGAGCCCTGGGGACATGCAAGCAAATTTGCTCCTGAGCAGGATGCTTCCTCTGTGCTAATACCAGCAGCCAAAGCATTATCAAAGGGCAAGCAGTTTTGCTTGCACATGCAAGCTTAGGATACTTGGATTGCAACAAAATGTGGACCTGTGAATATGGCAAAGAAAGGACCTTGCAAACTAAACCTAGTGCTATAGCTTTTTCAGGCGAAGTCCTCGGCTATCAATGAATTTCTTCTGAGCCAAGGAAGTGAGATTTGCTGCGTCAGATGTGTGCAATTTCTTAGAACCCAGATGTGAAATGTGGACACATTTTTTTTTTTTCCGTGTTTTGTATTTTCAGTGTACTGTACAGATTCCTGGTGGCTCCTGCCTGTCTCACAACTGGGCCAATGGAAATAGGGTTAATATTTATTTTATTTTGTCAGAATGTGGTATTTTTACTGATTTGAAAGGGCTAGACCAAACTCTGCTATGGAAAACAAAACAAAACAAAATATGGCAGGGTTAATAATTGAAAGGCTTTAAATTCAAGAACCTTGGATTCTGCAAGATTTGGTGGCATTGCAGGTGGGGAGTGCACGTGGATAGTACGAAAGGTAACAACTGAACTGTAAATTCATGAAATTGGGCAGTTTCTTCGTTTTATGCTTGAATAGCACTTTGCTCAGTGTTTTTTTTTGTCCATGACTGGACTCCTAATACAAATAAATGGGACTTTTTCAGTCTTCACGAGAACAGATTTGTGTCTGCATTGCATACATTGCACAAGCTGAGACTCAGCATGGCGCTGTTATGTCCATATGACTTCCAGACCAGAGCAGGGTTTCAGCCAGCCTCCTCCAAGATGGTTACGGTGACTTGTGGTCTGTGTAGTGATGATCATGGACATAGGAGCCAGCTGGCAAAAGACCTGAATCACAGTCTCTCAAAATCAATTTTCATGGGCTTCAATGGGATTTGAATCAGGCTCTTCATGCTGAAGTTTCCATTACTGAGTGCCAGTAATTGGGTCAGCTATTCAAAAGCGCACAGCACTTACAATTCTTGTAATATCATTGGTAGTCATGTTTTCTAGGGAGCCCAAAAGACCTGGTGTGTTTAGGTTAAAGAGTGAGCATTCACAAAAGTTTTTATTTGTATCTAAGGCGTGCAGCATTATTAAATGTTCATCTTTCACATATGCCCTGGGTAATTCTGGAAATGATAAAATGTTCTGTGGTCCTGATAAATGTTGCTTTCACATACGCATCTCTGATAGATTTTGGAACTTGCTAATACATTTCTGAGGGGAGCAGAAACCATTTCAGCAGTTACATAAATTCTGAATTTTCCTTCCTTCCTCCTACTTGTTTGTTTCTAATAAACATAAAACTTCTAATTTCCTTTGCACTCTGGCATGCTAGAAATTAAGAGAGTAAGTGCTCATGCTGTTTTTCTTTGCCTGGGTCTGGCTTATACAACAGATTTTTACTCTGTAAGACAGATTTTGCTGTATTTGTGCTTTTTTCATCTCCCCCTGAGGAGTGTTAACTCAAAGCAATCACAAGACACCCATCCTTGCCTGCTGCTTCTTGAGCTGTTATGTCTTCTTCTTTGCTGCCTACTTCTCTATTTGAAGCTTTTTTTTTAATAGGAAAAAGCAACATTCAAAAAAACTAAAGGCTGTCTCCTTTCCTAAAATGGTAACTTTGATGTGAAAAGCTTAAACACGCAAAAGCACTTCTGTTCCTATAGCATCTACTTTTAAGAGCTTTTTCTTTCCACTCAGATGAGCTCTGTACAGAACAGGATCGCAGAAGGAAGCTGTGGGCACCCTTGGAAAATCTGAGCTGCTTGTGAAGCTGTAGACACTGCATGTTTATGGACTTGGTTTTCTAAGCGATCTCCAAAGCTTGAACGGATTACAGTGATATTTTAACAAGGCTGCTGGCATCCATCACTAGCTTTCACTTACTGAGAAAGCTAAAAGATGGAAGAGTGTAATTATTTCCACGTAAGCTAAATTCTAGTGGCTGATTATCACGAGGACATTAACACTTTAAACTTCTTAATCTCCTCTAAGCCAAACAGGTAAGTCTTACAGGCTTCTCTTCTAGCTTTCATTTTGGTAAGGGAGTGGGGGCTCGCAGGGGACTGGTGGTGAAGGGGAATGTGTTAGGTACGGAGGCAAACTGAGTTTCTTAAATGGTATATATGCAGTAGCACTTGCATGTTGTCATTTTCTGTCAGGTTATAAATCTACTGCTTGTAGGCTAAAAAATTTCCATGGCAATATTGTTGCTTTCCATAGCCAAGATCTGGCTATCTTTCCATATTAAAGTAATCCCTAACATATGCAACTATTGTATACACTAATATATTAGTGTAAGAGGACTGGTACATCCACTCCCTGTGCCTAGTGAAGTATCTGTGCCTAAATCTCTTTCTGCAATGATATAATTACTTCTAGATCGATTACTCTGGTCAAAGCAACGTTATTCCATATGCTAGGCATAACCACATGTTTAGGATTAACATTCCAAAGATGATTTTGGTTGAACAGCTTTTCCCTGAAAACACAATTTCTTAAACTGAATCCCTGGGCAGCTTACATTTCAGATGAGTCCTGCAGAAATACGGTGTAAACAAGAGGTTTCCTAGCTTTCAAGTGGGAGTGTAACAGCGTCAAAAATAGATAATTCTTTCTCTTTCACCCTTGAAAGAACAGTTATTCTCTTTAAGTAATGGCACTGCTATACCCCTAGAGGTGAGGCTTCCTATTTGAAGACTTTTAACATAAAAGATCTAATTACCATGTAAAAAGCAAAAGACACTTTGACCGTAAATAGTTTTCTCGTAATTAAGTTTTTCTGTCCCCTGAGAATGTTTACTAGCTTTAAAAAATAATTATTGTTGAAGGGCAAAGTATGTTGTGCTCAAATATAAATATTCATGCTTATTTTTTGTTTTAAAATATGGTTGTTTATAGAAAGCAATTCAAGCTCTATTTTCAGTCTGGCTGTGATAATTGAAATAAAGCCTTCTAGCATATGCAATTATAAATAAATTTATAAGAATTATTAGATGTGTAATTAACAGAAGACTGAGTTATTATCACTTTCTCCTGTGCATAATAATTCTGCATAAAAACATGAGAAATGACTCTCATTAAACTCTCACAGCAGATCAATCCTCAAAAGGGAGTGAGACATTAAAACAAAGCATTTAAGATGTGTAAACACTGTGATTAATTAAACAGAAATGGGCATTAAAAAAAGTCTGAAAACAAAGAGAATGTTTAAGAAATAGATATCCCTTAAATGGTTAACATGTTTTGACATTTCTTTTTTTTAAAAAGGGGAACCTCAGAGTATCTTGGGGATGTATGTCTGTATATTTTGCTTTGTCGTTTGGCTCTGAGGAGTCACTTTGAATACCTGGGCATTATTCATCTGCAAACTTTTCAAAATTCTCATCAATGGAGTGATTAATTAGAGAGGATTCAAAAAAGCCGGCCCGGGCTGCTGCTGGAGTTAGCTTTTCCCTGGTTAAGGTGTGTTCTCTGTGGAAGTTTAGGGACTTTGAGATTTGTGCTCAGTGACTTTGAGCAGAAGGCTGCCTCCGCTGGTACCTTCGCTGGTGGCAAACAGAGGACCAGACTAAACCCGTCGTATCAGCAGGCGTTAAGTAGATGAGTCGAACTTTTGTGAAACAAATTAAAGCCAGGTATGTTTAAAAGGTTTTGCTAGTGAAAACACTGGAATTTTGGAGAACAATGGCATTCATAGTAGCAACCTGAGCAGATACTTAAGCTGGGCTTGGGTCAAATTCCTCAAAAAGTGTTTATTCAAGTACTGTGAAGTACCGTACCAGAACTCACACTCTATATTTTAGGGCATTTAATGTTCTTTAGGACTACTTTGGCTGCTATCTAGTATTCATTCTATTGGATTACTGTGTGTAGAGCAGTAATTAAGAGCTCTGGGTATGAATCATAGGAATATGCAAGTTATGATTTTTTTCCTAATGCTTGGAAGTTATCCTAGGCAAGCAAGTCTCGTTCTTGTTTAAGACACAGCTACACATGAAAAAAGAGAAGAAATAACTTTTTATTCTATGCTATAAAATAGTAATGCTGTGTAATACACACCCAAGAGCTTAACAAAACTATAATAGGACAAAATTAGCCAGTGCCCGTCTAATCCTTCATTAGCATACTGTTATATTTTTTGCCCAGTGGATATATTGTCTGCTGAGAAATAATGTGAATATTTATTCAGCGGTAATAGCTGTTGCTGCTTAACTTACTTGAGAGCTTTTATTTTCACTGTGTGAACATGCTTATCTATAAAAGGATTTCAGGCAGATGATCACCCTTGGGATTTAATGAATTCATGCATTATATGTCCTATGTTATTATGTGGCTGTACAGCAAGATTACTGTTTTTCTAATGAGATTCCAGTTCAAATAGACATGCTGCAAATATATTGGCACTTCTCAGAAAATGGTGCCTGTCTTCCAGAGTGGTTTAATGTACACATGGAACTAGTTTATTTAAGCCGCATTGTAAGTGTAAGTCTGTCTTCATTTGATGCAACAGGTGCAGCAGTTTGAATGAGAAAGTCCGTGCTAGTAATAAGAGCAGAGCCCAAACTTCTTCCTATAGAAATCAGAGAGAGTTTGGCTACCTACGTCAGGAGGAATAGGATCTGACCACTCATTTTGATGTGTAACTTGCATTCGGTATTGATGACCCAGAAAGATATACAATTGCTGCTGCTTCTTACTTATAGGAAACTGCATTTTAGCGCAAGATACCACTTTTTAAACTCTGCTGAGATTATTCACTTATATTCCATTTATGTTTCAAACTAGATATTTCATTTTCCAAAGAAAAAGGATATTTAGTGTATGTATTTCCAGCAATGAGTACAGCTGTGCTACTATCCAGGTTTTCATGCTTTTATGCATACATTTTTGATACAGCTATAGTGAAATGGTACTGTTAGTGTTAGGGTGATGTAAGGAGAGAAGTGCTACATTACCAATACAGAGCTGATTTAAATTAGAGCAGACTCTGCACTGTTATTAGCTACACCAATGTAAATTAAGGATGTTTCCATAGAAATCAGAGAGTGTACATGAGGTTTACTTTGGTATAAATGAAATTAGAATCAGATTCATTGAAAGTTTGTTTCAGACTAACTGGTAAAGGTCTGAGCAACACCATCAGCTATTAATGACAAGCTGTAAACTTCTATCTTTCATTATTCAGTTACAGGTTAAGTTGCAGTAAAACACCATTTACCTAAAAAGAAAGAGGACAAGCAGTGTAAAATGTTTTCTAGTTTACTGGCTTTACTTACCTTTAGCTGTACTGTTTTCACCCTGATGTAAGTTTTTATCTGCTATGATAACATAGTCTGATTTGCACCGCTGTAAACTAGAAAAGAATCAGACCATTTGCCATACAGAATATTGAAAATAATTATTATAGTAATATTATCTTGAACATTTGTTAGAAATAGTTTTTATGGGTATTAAATATACTGCAGATAGATAGAACTATATGTGTATGCTGTGTCATGTTCTTGGAGACTTTTTTGGAAAGAAATTCTATTTCTTATGGTTAGATTTTCCAATTAATTGCTGATGATGATCTGGAAATGTATTCACTGAAGCTCTTGCATGTAGTATATGATATTTAAACTAAAAAGGCAAGAAATCAATTCAGTTGTTTGTGCTGTAATTGACTGAATAGTAACTGAGATACAGGATATTGAAAGGTCAAAATGACAAATGTTTCCAGAGAAATTTGCAAATTATTCTCACAGGATTTTAATTAAAAATTTGTGCATAATTAAATCCTACCTATTTTTTCATACTTAAAGATTTCCATGATCTGTGTATGATTTTGCAATAGTGTTAGAATTACTGTATCCTTTATACATGATACTGCTTTTAAAGCCTAATTCACTTCTCAAGAAATGGTAACTGTAGGAAAAGGTGCAGCTTAAGCAATAAAGTGACGGTCTCTGTTAGGTATTTAAATCTGATTGGGATGAAGGCCAACCTTTTGGTGAACAAGCTATTTCAGTTGCTTCTCGGGGCAGGCAACATGGTGGCAGGGAGCTGGGTGAAGTGGGGAGGAGGTGAGGTGGCTGCGCTCGGTTTCTCCCATGGCTCAAAATGCGTTCGGGTGGCCCCCTGCACGGCGTGTGGGGAGGGACCTCCCGGTGATGGTCGTTGATGAGCACCCAAGGAGCAATGCTACCAGCATCCCAGCTCAGGCTGGCACAACCCTGCTTTCAGCTCCCTCTTTTTCCCTGCCCAACACTCGCAGTGAGATTCAGGGGGAATGTCACTTCTTTGGCTTCTTACGGCTCCTGCTCGCGTCTCTCCAGCTCCCAGATCCCTTTGCCCAGGAACCACAGCTCTGCTTCTGGGCTGAGGGGCAGTCAAGCCCCAGAAGCCTCCCCACAGCTTTCCTCCCGGCTGTAACAGCATCTGCATCCCACCGCCCATGGAAGCCAAGGCACCGTACCCCAGGCGGGGCTGCAAATTCACACCAGCAGCAGCCTTTACTCACCTTCCTCATATGCTGGCCTTCTGCCTGGTCCTTTCCTACACTCTGGACTAGAAGAGGTTGAAAAAAACTTTTTTTTTTCTTTTCTTCCCATTTGTCTCCCTGTGGCCTTTTCCTTGTTACCAGGTCTCAGCAACACAGAGATGCTAGTATAGGATATGGAATAGGCTTCTGCCCATCCAGTTGCCATAGCTTGTTGCACCTCTCCATCATTTTATTGGCCAAAGTATTGCGATATGGACCCTAGCTGGCTGCATTACTTGAACGCTCAGTGATGTTCTCGATCTGATTTGTCTACATTGACCTACCTGGTAATGGCGTGAGGCCGGCCGTTCCCTTCTCCTGGGCAGCGGGGCTGATGGGGTCTTTGTCAACTCATGCTCAAGGACATTCGTTTTCTCAAAGAGGACACTGGTACTATTGAAAGGATAGAAAGGTGGGAGGAGGAAAGATAAATAGAAAATGGAATAGGAATAGAACATTATATGCATTAGTGAGCCTTTTGAATGCATAGCAAAAAGCATTTATCCAAGATGGAATTCAAGGTTTGTGCCACTGAAAGAGAGATGCTGTACTTGCTTTCTGTGAGGGACTGAATTTTATCTAAGCTGCTTTGTATTTTCTAAAAAAAATGGCACAAATGTTGACATCTCCAAAACTGCTACTGCTACAATTACTTCTAATAATCTGATGGATCCTTCTTACATGCCAAACAGTTTGCTCTCAGTTTGAAATTACCAATTGTTGACTTGCTTTCTTCCTTTGGTTGTTTTACTTTATTGCTTTGTCCTTCAGCTGCCCTTCCCTAGCACTTTTGATAAAATTTGCTCCAGTACAGAGAGCTTCAACACTGTTTGGTATTCCTGCTTGTAAAAATAAAGTACAAAACAAGATATATTACGATATTGATAACTTATCATCACACTCTTTAAAGATTGCACTGTTGAAGATAAGAGCAGATACCCATGTGAATGTAAAGGGGTAAAAAGGGGAAAAAAATCGAACAATGGCAGTTTATCCTCTTGAAACAAATTTTCTTTACCAACTATCTGGTGAAATATGTTCATGTAAGCACAATACTGTCTCAGTCATATGACAGACACGTGATAACTAACTGTATTTCCTGTCCTCCTACCCCTTTTCATTCAAAAAAGAAAAAGAATATTGAAACAATCTGTAACCTTACTGCTGCAACTGCACCAGATAGTTTCCCCTTGTTTTCCTGCTCCTACTCGCTTCCTAAGCGAGATATTGTCTTTTTGATTCCTTTTCCTTTTCCATGCATTAATGTACTGTGTTTTTTTGTACTCTTATGATCCAGTGATCAGCATGTGACAAACCATTACCTAAAAAATGACAGATGTGTAAAGACTGAAATAACTTTTTAGTCTAGAAAGAGAGAGAGGTTGGGGAGAGACATAATGATCTTTAAAAACATAAAAGGCAGGTGCAGAAAGGAATGGAGGGGTTCTTTTCCTTGATCGTTGTGAATAGGACAAGAAATAGTAGGTTTAACTATGCAGCTATGAAACTTAGAAATACCCTTCTTATAGTGGTGAGGCACTGGAATAAATTGCCTTTCAAAAGCATGGAGCGTCCAGAATGGAGGCTTGTAAGCGCTGATTTGAAAATCATTTCCCAGGAATGGCATGTACATGATTGATCCTGCTGTGAGACAGAGATGGGTTAGCTCCCCTTCAGCCCTGCTTTTTGTCATTCCTCAGCGATTTGCAAGCATGTAAACTTGTGGCAATGAGAGCAATGAAGGATATGAGAACAGTGGTGCACAACAAAATACCTTCTTTGCATCGACCGCTGCTACAGAAGACCTATGTTGAATTTATTCCTATCAAGTAGCAAAGATGAGGTACTATGAGAGGTAGAAGAAATGTCTAAAGTGTCAGAAGAGATTCAGGGAAAGTGAATGATGGCTAATTAATTATATAAATCGGTGACCATTCAGGAGCAGTTTATGTTTAGTATCTTAATTAGTCTAAGGAGAGCTTGGGAGAAACATTTCCCTGGAGACAGATGAGCTACTTACTGCAGGATCTTTTCCTCAGAAACGTCATTCTGTATCCTGTTGTTGACAGGATACTAAATGAAGTTAATTTACTAAATCAGTACTGAAATTATTATATTTCTTTGTATGCTGCATTGAGGGGAAAATCATAGGTTGTCACAGGTAGTTTTTGCCAAGTTCAGAAACAAAATCAGAGCCACTAAAGGGAGCTTCTAGTTAACTTTTTCTTCAAATTCATGGGTGAAGAATACCCAGTATGCGCTCATATCAGAAGACATATGATATGTCTAATCATAGATGCGGTTCTAAATGGTCCTTCACAAGCTTTGACTATACAAGAAGATGGCACAAACAAGCTATAGATTGGAGTTTTTCAGAAGAGAATTATCTGTCTATTTATGTGGCTGCAACTAAGGCAGTTCTCAGGGCTTTGCCCTTGTACTTATCCTGTCACGTGACAGAAATAAGCCACTGATTTAGCCCAGGTTTTTGATGGCTATCACATGTGAGCATTTTAGTCAAGATCTGATACTGCACTTTAGTGCCAGGTAACAGGGAGAGAAATGTTGAGGGCCTTCTGTTTCTCAGGTCTTACCTGGGCAACAGAAAGACAGCGTAGTCAGTGCTGAATGAATGCCATCATCTGACTAAAGATTTATCTAACGTGATCGCACTAGAGAAATTTTTCGTTTTGGGCACCATATTGTTCCAGAGTTTGTTTCAGTCTTTCAGGCCACAGGAGTCACTGGCAGTCCTGCCATGAATTGCAGTGGTCAGACCCTCTTTAGGATTTGTCCATGTGGCATCAGCCTTGCATAAATCCTCTCCATCATTCCTCCGGGGCTGTTGGTTGGGCCATTCTAGGCGTTGCTTAGAGCCAGCATTCAGTTCTCCAGTCCTGTCTCCTTTAGGGTCAAAAATGCATGATGTTGTTGCTGCTTCCCTCTGGTGAGCAAATTAAACACTGCATCCATTAAAACAGTGACAGGGTTACACCTAGAGCTCTGCTTTGCAGTCTCCGAGAAGCACATCTGGACAACTCTTCTGGACAGGAAGAGTTTCCTTTGTACTCTTTGTTGGAGAAGGTGTCTGCTCTGCCTTTCTGAAGCACAGTGTGATGAAAGAGGTCAGAAATGAGGGGTACACTTGCTATTGCTAGGACAGAGTTTAAGTGGCTGCAGCTTTAACTGCAAGCTCACTTTTGAACCCAGGCATTGGTATAATTATGCGAGTTGCTCATCATTTTGACACCACCCTTGCAACCTGGGCGGACAACCAGAGAGTTAATCCAGCCTCCCTTTGCAGAAGGCAACTGCACTTATTTGCCGTTTCATGCCTCCCGCCCCGGGTGGCCCATCTCCTCCCGTGCCCAGGTCGGTTCCCTCCCAGGCTGGGGTGCCCCGTCGTGGGCAGTGGGGAGGTGGGGGCTGCCGCTCCCGGCCGGGGGGGGGG